TGTCAGATCTAATGCTACTTTTTCATGATATAGATAATAAATCATGTGGTCCTCCTTGGGAACAAAAAAAAAAGAAATGCAGTTATAGTTGTAATAAAAATAAACCAGTTTGTCGTGCCTCTGTCTTACATTTATCAACCCATTTGAGTGAGCTGTTTCTGCTGCCACATAGCAGGAAACATAATTTGTCACTTTGTAAATACAGCCAAGGCTCGAACTGCTGCCAGCTCCCTCCTCCTCTTCTGAAGGATGGGTGTTTTAAGTGCATTGTGGGTCTGCACTTTTAAGAAACAAATGGCTAGGGATTATGATAATCAACACTGGTGGCAGAGCTGGGAAAGTATTTGGATAAAAAAATAAATAAAAAAGCTTCTTGCTTAAAAAAAACATTGCTCAGATTTGAGTTTTTTTTTTACATTTGATTCAATTGCCATATTCATGCTTCAAAGGAACATTGCCAGTGGTATTTTTAAAAGAAATTTATTTAAATAGATCCTGGTTGTACTATACAGTCTTTTCCTACATATGTTGTGTAATATTTTCCCTTTCCTTACAACAACTGTAGTAAAAAAGCAACAGAAAACATTTTTAAATGAATGCTTCCAAAAGCAATATGTACTTTTCCGTTCAGTGTGCTTTGCTGGGTGCACTGATGTACAAAGTGATGTGAAGATCATGTGAGAACTGAGATCACTCTGGTGCCCCCCTCATGGCTTTCGGAATGTAGAGAAAGTGAAATTTTCAGGTTCATCACTATCAACTTTATGGTTTTGTGCTTTGAGCTGTCCTGTTATGCTGTTTAACCACTGGGGATAAGCGTATCTAAATGACATCAGCACTATTATTATGTATTCAATAATGAAAAGATTTGTATTTCCCCAAAAACATCATCCTGCATATCTATCAAAACCTTTCTGAGGTTTAGGTCAAATTCTTCCTTTGCTTTTGCTAAAATTTTCCAGCAGATGGCACCTTATTTTAGAGCTGTCTAGGTGTTGTGTGATGTATGACTGTATAGCTGATTAGGCTGTTTTTCAGCAGCAGCACTTCATCAGCATCAGTGTGTGATAATAGAGTATATAGCATTTAGATATTGCCAGTTGAAAGTTTTATTTACTACATGTATTGATAAAGAAAAGCATTTATATTCATCAGTTATTTTTCTCTGATTTGTAGATATTGACTGTTTAAACTATCCTTTGTACTCCAGTGTGGATTTCAAACCCATGAATGGAAAATTGAGAAGAAACTAGTAGAAATAGAATCAGGCTTCTTAGGTAACATGATCTGACAGGTTTCCTAGTGGAGATAAGAACCAGGGAAATTGGCATTTTTTTTCCTAAACCAGCAGGTAATCAGAAATCTAGTACAAAACCTTTCTTTAAAGAGAAATGATTTAAATGTCCCATTTGTCTCAGATACAGTGCCTCGTTTATAGCTCACAAATATATGTGAATATACCATATGCACATATAATTCTCATAAAAATGGCCTCTGCATTTTAGAAATGATTTAGCTTTTATGAGAAGGCTTACGCTGACAAGGTCCCTATCATGCTTGCTCAGTGGATGAATGGTGTTGGGGACTCTGGTGTATCTGGCACTTTTCACTGCTTGGTAATATATCTATGACAGGCACAGCAAGTCATGCTCCATTCCTGTTGATTGCTTGTACCGCTCTTCTGTTAAGTGGCCTTAGTCTGTGTGCTGTTAATCATTTGTACTAATGGCTACCAGTGGATTATTAATGCTGTTGGGAGAGGAAGGGTGGTACATAAGATAAGTGCTTGTCATCTTACAGGTTAGTCATGTAGAGGGATCTAAGGCCTAGAAAGAAGGGAGTTTATTGCTTTAAGGCAAAATAATTCCAAAGCTGTATTTTTTTACTAAGTAATTTAGTGTTAACATCAGGAGTTTTATTAAGATGCTTTGAAAAGTTGAAACTTAAATGTATTTAAATTTGTTTCAATATCATACATTATCAGTGTATTGTATATGATGGTTTAATTGAAAATCTGTTTTTGAGTATCTATCAAGATATTTTCTTGAAAATGTTTTTATGCCTGACTGCTTTTCATAATAATCAGTTCCATTTTCAATGGGATAGTATAACTAATTATTCCAATTAATATCCCAATTAACTTGTTGCTAGCGAATGTATTATATACTATATATACAGTAGGCCTTAATGTACTCAAAATTGTTTTCCTAAAAGAAAATAAAAATATGGAAAACTAATGTTTGTCATATTACTCTTGGAGAAATTCCATGTTAGTTGTCCTAAATAAATGGGAACAATTAATACATTAAGAACAGGTAATTTTCCGAGTCAAATTCATTCATCAGTTTTCATTATAATTGATCAGAGACTTGTTGATATACTAGAGGTGATTTTAGTATAAATTTAGAATCACTGACTATTGTTTTTCCTTTTATACCCCTTAGATTCAGAGTTTGGGTGATGGATAGTAATAAGCTCAACTTCACTACTCTTGACTCTTATAACAGCTTGGTGAGGCAGGCACCAAAGCGAGACTGTATTATAGGCTCCCTCTGATTTGCAATGCGCATGATCCCACGGTGCCTACAAGGCAGCAGAGAGGGTTGCGGCTTGTGTCCCAGGCCAGCTCTCAGGTTTTCCAAAGATTATTATAAGCCTGCTCATTTTTTTTATTAAATAAGATCCAAGCAAAGCCCCCAGTGTTTTTTTCCACCTTATCCATCCAGATTACTTAACAGAGGAACTCGCTGAATTGACCTGTCTCGTCTTTCTGATTGCCCAGCCAGACACTTGCAGTACAAGCATGAACTACATGAACAGAATCAAACTGCTTCTCTGCACTCATTTTGACATTAATTAACAGCATTAACATACCCAGCTAGGTTTCAGATAACATGCTAGCAAAGTTTGAATGGACCTGAGGCTGGTGCATGACTTGATGTTATCAGATAATAATTTTTCAAAGTAGGAGAAAACCCTGGAGGCAAAAGTTAATTTTCTGAAATTAGACTTATTAGGTAGAGCCCTTTTACTTCAGTGACAGGTATATCTCAGTGAATAATTGTGCAATGTTAAAGGAAGCTGAGAGCACTGTTGCAGGGGATTTATTTTATTTTATTTTTAATCCAAGTAACTGATCCTAGGGTTTACCGGTGATAAGGCTGCCATCAGACAAGAGTTAATAATCTTTGGATAGACATCCAAAGACAGACCTCAGATACACATCGGGGTTCTGAACCCTGCAGAATTGCAAGGCTTTGTCTCCTTTTTTTTACTGTATTTGTTAAACCATTTCTATAATTGTTAATTCTTCCACAGCCCACTAAAAGGGTCAGTTTTCTTTAAAGTCATATCACCAGCAGAACTAACATAGTAAGGTAGTCCTATTTAAAGAAAAAACAGCATTTTTAAAGAAATTTACTTCGGAAAGTGCCCTGTAAAATCCATCAATCCCTGAAAGCAATATTTTCAAAAGGTCTTTGATTTTTCCATAAACAGTCTTTTATTATTGGTGGCTGTATTAGGTCTGGCAGTATTATAACTGCTATTGAATTTAGTCCGCGTTGATGTAGGGTATTGTTAAATCTGTATAAGTAGCTTAAATGTTGTGCTGTTGTCGGTGACCTCCTGCCTGCTTTCCAGCAGGGTTTAAGTAAGTTTTTTTTTTTGGCCCATAGTCTATTTCTTATGAAGGGACATTTAATGTGTATTAGCAGAATGAGTAAAGATGTCTAGTTGGTTTTGACTTCTGTGCACATGTTCTAAGAGGAAAAGAAGTATTCTTTTCACAACATTCTTTCCATATGTTTTCTTTAACTTTAGTTTCTTGTTTATGATTTAAAGTGTGAGTTCATGACGAGTGTTATTTCTTTCAAAATTAAAAAAATGCTTTCAGTGAGCAAAAACACAGGGAAAAAATTGTTTTTTTTATTAATATTCTTTGAATAAAATGGTACTCTTCGTTTTTAAGGAGACAGAAATTTTTCAATACAAAGTGACTGTTGAACATGCACTTGTGCAAGAGATATGATTTCTTCAATATCTTTAAAGGATTCATAACAGCATACTGTAAGAGGCGATTGCTCTCAAACATAAAAGCAAATGCTAAAAGGCCCTTTATCATATGGATTTTGCCTTAGTCATCCATAATTTATTTTAGCTGTTTTATATGCCATTATAGACATTATGACAGGGTTTTTATATTTCTTTCTGTTCACTTACTGGCAGTATTCCTTCACTAAGGTGTCTTTACCAATATTATATGTAAACCATAAGACAATAAAAATCATAACTCTCAGATACAGATACCCTGCTTTTGAAAAGTTAGTACCACTCTACATTTCTCTGTTACAAAAACCATTCTTTATTATTTACTCTGTCGCAATGCTGAAATCAGTAGAAATATATTTATAGTATAATGCATCCAGTCTTCAGTGTGGTCAAGCCTGAAGGAGTACATATTATTATAGGTTTCTTGAAAAAGACCTTGCTCTGTATCCTCAAGATTTTGTTTACTAACAATTTGAAATGAAGTGTACCTGCATGTTAGTATTTTATAATAATGCCAAGGAGAAGATGTTTGTTTTACACAAAGTTCATAATGTGTGCTTATCATAATTTGTGCTTGTCTATTCTGGACCAATCTGAAAAAAACGAATCACTTAGGAATAACTCAGATGTAACATTTTGCAAAGTGTACTCAATAAAACTCTAAATGACTGTATAATTAGAGAATCTGCATAATCTGTCTTTTTAAACAAATACATAACAAAATGATCCCTGCTTTTCATTATAGTATCTGCTGTTGATACTGTGTATCTGTTGTAATTGCTAGGACTGCCTTTTAAGATGTTGTCTTGGTTGTCAATTTTCTAGTGTTACTATTGATCTCATAACTATAATATGAGTTTTGGGTGCAGTCTTTACTCAAATCATCTGAAAGCGATCTGCCTTGAGTTTAGTCTTCTGATCTTAATTCTTATACTTCTTTTTCCTCTTAGCACAAGGCCAAGGTGGAAGCCATGACCCTTGACCTTGCTTCGCTGCACAGTGTGAAGGAGTTCACAGAAGCTTTCAAGGGAAGAAACCTGTAAGTCAAAAACATCCTCAGAATAATTTGCTCCTCTGTTCATTTCATTCATCCTTTTTTATTTCTCCCCAGATAAATGTTAAAAATGTCATTCTTTTTTGAGTAAGCACCAGATAACTATGGCAGAAATACCAATCCAGATATAACTGCCAGAAACAGATCAATAAGACAAATAAATATATGCATTTAAGTTTTGCTTCATTAGTGAATTTAGTTGCTGTTTTTACCTAAGGAAAATTGTTTCTAGAATAGTTTTCTAAAACCACTCTGTGATTTGAAGGAATCCTAGTTTTAGATTTTTCACTTTTTAAGCAACCAAGCTTACATTTTTGCGATTTTCCATTAAGATCATCTTGCTCCTGAGAATAGAATTACGTCCTAAATTGATTATTTTGTCAATACGAGGTTAAAACTGCTACAGTATAAGACATTATGATTATTACCAAACTAATAAGACTTATGTTTTAATAACAGCTGTTGCCCCATCACACCTTAGCATGAGTATAATTAGTTAGTAGTATAATTGCTAGAACACATTATCAATAATGTAATTTAACTAAAAACAAATATTAAGTATTCACATATTTTCTTATGTTCAAAGTTCAAGAGTTGCAAGTGAGTAGTGGCAACAGTACACTATTATTTGTTTACAGTTTTACAGTAGATATTCACAAGATATGGACAAAAAGGTGTGCTTATTTCACAGGTTAATCCATTGTTGTTGGACCTACAGTATGTTTTTTGTGCTTCTTTGCCCCAAGTTCCTATTAGATAAGTGGTGTTGTGTACAGTATGTTGCGATAAATATTAATTTTGAAAATAATGAGACTTATGTGCTTTGGTAATAAAGCTATATAATTAAACTAAGAACCCAGGAGGTTACAAGCAAGAAGTTACATCCCACAGTATTAGTTTGGTATTTAACTCCCTCTCTGTTTTCATTACAAAATAGTCACTTTTTTACATCTAAAAGTACTACAATACATCAACAGAATTTCAGGTGATATTGTGAAACTTTGTCCAAGCTTTTAAAATTTTATTTACTTTGTCAACATTGTCCGGAGAAGGTCTTTGACCCTCTCCGCACTCACATCTATTAAATTAGAGAGAGGGCTCTGGGCCAACCTTTCAAATAATAACAGTCATGTTGCTGTGTTATTTCCCTCTCTCAGAAGTCAATAAGCAACTGACCCAGTCAACAAAATAATTATATCAAACTGATTTCTAGAGAGTAATAAGTCCTTCACAGTCTCCTAGTTAAACCAATTACAGTCAAGCTCTGATGAAGTTATATTTCAGAGAGGGGCAGGGGAAGATGTCATTTACAAAGCTGCCTCCCCCCATGAAAGTTGTGAAGGCTTTTGTGAGAGCATACAGATATAAAGGTATCTTTGAATAGTGGAAGCTTTCCTGTGAAACTGCACTTTAAAACATGAGGTTCTGAACTGTCATTATAATAATGTAACAATATACTTTGTTTTACATACGCTAATAAATTATGTAATAAAATTCCATCAAATAAGAGCGCACTCTGCACTTTTTTCCTTCAAAGAATTCTGCACACTGCATCTACTCTGGTTATTGTTCATTTTGCACTTCGTGATTAACGTCCCGGTTTAGGTACAAGTCTGACTTTTACTACACTAAAAATTGTTTTTTCTAGTATTTGACCTGCCAACTTTGAGAACTGTCAATTAAGAGTTAATCAAAAATGCAAATGAAGGATGATATGGTATTGAATCTGACAGAATTAAAGTAGGAAAATATAACTAGCTTTAATATATGATTTGCAAGGTCTTGCAGTATTTACTCAGCTGTACCTAATGTGTGACTACAGGATGGTTGTGTTAGTAAGTTCCTGAGGTATGCATTTGCCGTGGACTTTGAAGTGACTGTTTTGACAGAAATGTGTGGGATATTTTAATGGTGGACGAAAGAGAATATCCTGTCCAAACATTTTGCTTCTCGATTAAAGTGCTCTATTTTTCCTTGCTTTCAGTGTTTCTTTTCCCTGTAAACATTGATGGACTTTAACTACAAAGAAATTAAAAAGGAAATGTGGAATTTTGCAGTTCAGTATTTTTAGGATGTTGGCAGAGAAGGATTTTGATGTCCAAGAATCATTTTCCATCCCTGTACAATATATCAGTGGGTTCTGGACAATTTATTGTCCGATGTGGTTAGGTTTCCTCAGCAGATCCTGGGATATGGGAGGCGTCCGCCTTTTATGCAACAACTGTCTTCCCCAGTCAGAGTTTTTTTCCTCCCGAATGACAGTTACAATGTTAAAATTGTACTTTGTTATGGTTGTGGTCAGTAAAGAAGTCAATTTGTATGGGATTGCAAGGGATTAGACCACCTGTTTTACAGCTGGAAACACATTTTTATTTGGAAGAAAAGGGTAAGACTTCTGTGTGATGTGAAAAGAGTATGTTAAATGCAGAATATGTGTGAAGAGCCTTAAAAATGCAACTGTTAAGATGTTTAGGGTATGCTGTGCTTCCTCAACAGAAGAGAATCTGTCTTTAGGAGTCACGAGTTTCCAGATATGTTGTTACACTCTATAATTTTCCTGGATTCTGGATTAAAAAGGGGCCTTTTCCTGGCATCTTTTTATGGGAAGACGTGCTTTCATGCACGTACTCTGTAGGCCCTTCTTAAGACGTAAAATTAATGTAACCTTCTGTAGAAATGAAAATATAACCAAATGCTATCATATACATTTTCTCAATTGCTAAAGTGAATACAACCAGTTCTAAATAGTACACATGCTAACTACAGATCATGTGATATGACCATATTTGATATAAACCCCTTTTTTCAAAGCCGTAATGATAGATGGGTAATACTGACGTCATTCTTCAGAAACTTTTAACACTCATTTCTTCTTGGTCAGCGTTACAGTGGTTTTCCATGTCCAAGCTCTTCCTCTGGCAGTGGTTTCCTGTCCTCAGTCGGGGTCCTTGACCAGCCTTCTGGATGCCCCAGGGCTCAAAGAGCCTCAGGCTGCCCTCAGGCTGGGGTATCATGTGCCAAGACCTGCTTCTTGGTCAGCAGCCAGCCATGTGCATAATGGTGAAGAATTGGTAATGAATCCTTATTTCCTATCTCCCCTGATTAAAACCACTCACTGCTTCACTGGTGAAAGTGACCCTCCTGCCAAAGGCAGTTGAGCTGTAGAAACTTGATGTACTGTACTGCATTTGTGAAAACTGGCCTCAGATGTCACAGATACGAGAAAAGAAAGAATAAAGAGGGGCCATTTGGAGGGTGCCGCCTGGTAGATTTTTTTTCCTGCCACGGCTCAATAGCCAGCAGAAAGACAGGGTCAAGCATTTGCAAATCCACACCGTTTATATACCACTGCCTCCGAAATAGATCTTCTCATAAGTTTCATAATAGAGTCTGATGGCATTTAATAGGAAAAAAGATTAACCCATTAGCTTGAAACCATTTGGGACCCAAATCATTTATTTGGCCCAGTGACCCAAAATGAACATGGATCTTGCAAAGGAGCAATAAGCTATGGTCCTAGTGGCTGCCCATTAATGAGACCCTTACTCTGGGACAAGGACTGAGGTCTGACCCCAGCTGGAGGGATCATTTTCACCTCAGGGCAGCAGAGCACCTTGGCACAAAAGAAAGAGAGGCTGGAGAACTGTGTCCAAGTGTGAATGTGGACTCCACAAAGTGTGTAAGAGTAAACCAGATAGATCATTTTATCAGAAGAACTGGGCACTGTACACAGATGGATTTCTACTCCAAAGGGTCTGAAAATGTGTCTGTATCCACACTTCTCACTCATCCAGACTTGGTCCTTTCTAATTATTTTTTTAATTCATCTGTTAAAACGAAAACAAAAAAAATCCATAGAAGAAACAATTATTTTTATTAGACGCTTCACTGTCTGTATTCAGTATCAGTTCTTAGAACAGGTACATATTAAAGACCCTTCTTAAGACGTAAAATTAATGTAACCTTCTGTAGAAATGAAAATAAAACCAAATGCTATCATATACATTTTCTCAATTGCTAAAGTGAATACAACCAGTTCTAAATAGTACACATGCTAACTACAGATCATGTGATATGACCATATTTGATATAAACCCCTTTTTTCTAAGCCGTAATGATAGATAGGTAATACTGACGTCATACTTCAGAAACTTTTAACACTCAATTCTTCTATAGAAGAAACAATTATTTTTATTAGATGCTTCACTGTCTGTATTCAGTATCAGTTCTTGGAACAGGTACATATTAAAGACAGATGACTTTTTATATATCTTGTAGTTTTTTAGATGTTAACTTATTTAGAAAATTGAATACCTTGTGTTTATAGGGTGTCGACCTGCTTCACACCTAAAGTCCCTTTCCTCTTCTTCCTCTTTGGATATTTTATGACACTTTTTCATAGAAGGCCTGGGTGGCAAAGCTGGATCTGTGTCCATAATCCAGTATTGTAGGGTCAAAGTATGGGTTGTTGGTTTACAGGTTAATAGTATTGAAAGAATGTGATTCTCCAGTAGCTGTAAGATGGAGTCAAATGAACAACTATATCTCAGTGGATTCCTTTTCCAGAAATCTATAATTTCTCAAGCACTGAGGCTGTAGATTTAATTGTTGCCCGTAAAATCTTGAGTACCTAGCATTGTGCTGTAGGAACAAACATATACTGTAGATTTTAATAATCAGCTGTTAAAAGAAGGGAATGTTTTTTATTAGAAGGACGAGTAAATTGAATGTCTAAAGCAGCCTTGATCACAGCAAAAAAAAAAAGTCATAGAAATCAATTTCCAGCTTCCTCCTTCACAGATGTGATGCATCCACAGTAAGGATGTAAGGATGAGAAGTGATATATGATAAAAACTAAATGTGTTTTTCTTCTCTCCTGAAAGTAGACTTAAGCACAGCAGTTAATCTACTTGACCTGAATGTTTACACGCACAGGACGAGGACTGGAATTTCAGAGCTTTGGCACTGTTTTAAACACACGGGGA